ATGAAGGGCGCCGCGTAACTATGCGACGAGCGTCCGGGAGCGCAGCAGCGGCGCGGCGGTTGGAAGTGATGTGAGGCCCCGTGCGCCCGGCAGCGTGCCCAAGACGTGCTCCGTTGGCTAATATGATTGACGTCCGTCTGCGCGCGGCACCTCCGCGCTCGGACGGCCGTGGGGTGAGTTATTGCCCACGTTCCTTTCGCCCCATGTCACTGTTTTGCTGGCCATGCCGTTCGCATGGTTGGTACCTTCTGACTTAGACATGTTACGCAGCTATTTGCGCACAGCCAGAAAGTAGCGCCCGCGCGCCTTCGTGCGCCCCTCTGGCCAGCCGCACATACATGCCCTTGCACGATACGAAAATATACATATATGTCTACACACCTGTATACTTATATATATATATACACACACACACATCGCCTTGGCGGGGAAGTCTACCTCCTCGAGATCCCCGAGGACGGTTATGAGACCGATATTCCACTCCATGAAAAATTGCCCATGACATCCTCCAGCACACTTGCCTATCAGGAAGAATATCCCCTACAGGGGGCATGACTTGGCAAAATGCTACATCTTCCTCCTCCTCCTCCTTTTCCTCCTCCTCCTCCTGCTCCTCCTCCTCCTCCTCCTCCACGGTATCCCTGGTGCCACCCTGCCTGTCGCGCAACCCAGCTTTAGGCGACGCGAAGTAGCCTTAAGCTCGACCCGACAGTTCGATCGATCAATTCTCCTCCCCCTGCCTGCCTGCGCCCACGCTGGGCGGAGAGGAAAGGGGAGGAGGGCGAGGGCGAGGTGATGAGAGCAGGAAGAAGAAGAGGAGGAAAAATAAGAATAGGGACGATGCGGTGGGGTGTGCATTAGTACCGGGTGGCTGTTTGGTTTGGCTTCCTGGCCTGTCAATTGCCGTTCCAGATAGCACTCTCTCCTGCGAGCAGGCGGCGACAGCGCCTTCGCTTGGAGGTCCTTATTCCCCGCCCTCCTCCCCCCGCCCGTTCCGACGCCGACTCGCCCCAGCTCTTTACACTTAGAATACCCCGTCTTCACTGGCGACTGCATGGGTCAAGGGCTGCCCCGTGCCCGGGAAAATTTTAACAGGTGGTGGTTGCGGAAACGTATCGCCAGGCGTGATGGATCATTTGTGACGTGAGCGTTGTTGTCCCGCGGATGACTGCTTTGCAGAGTTGGAATGCCGATCAACGATGCGGTAGCGTAAAGAACACACATGCTAACCAGGAGCAGGAGGAGGAGCAGCAGCAGTAGCAAGAGCAGATGGAAGGCATTTTAGTTGTTTTACCAAACAGCGTTTGCACTTAGAGGTTCTTATTCATGTCAGTGAGGAATTGGATGTGTCTGGCGAGGATTCGCCACGTTGCCGGCCGTTGACGCGTCGTGGCCGCCTCCTGCGCTGAGTAGGCCCGGCGAGGCATCGCCACGCTGCCACCTGTGGCAGCCTTGTTGCCGCCTCGTGCGTTAAGTGGGTCCAGCGATGTTTCACCGCGTTAACGCCCGTGGCCACATCGTTGCCGCCTCGCGCGTTGGGCAGGTCAGGCCAGATTTCGCCACGTCGCCGCCCGTAGCAGCCTCGCGGCCGCCCCGTGCGCCGGGTTGGCCCAGCGAGTTTTCCCCACGCTGCCGCTCGCTGCCGGCTCGCGGCCGCTGGCCGCCTCGTGCGGTGAGTGGGTCCAGCGAGTTTTCGCCAGGCTGCCACTCGTGGCCGCCTCGTGCGCTGGGTGGGCCTGGCGAGGTTTCGCAACGTTGCCGCCTCGTTGCCGCCACGTTGCGACTTCATTGCCGCATGCAGCTTGCACCACGTTCGCTGCACCGCACAGCGTGAGCCACACCTGGACTCCTCCAGCGATGCTCCCAGACTGCTCCTGGAATGCTCATCAAATGCTCTGGGAACTCTTCCCAGCCTTGCTTGCTGAATTCGCTCCCGAAGTGATTCCCGAATTCTCTGATAGATTCACTTTGGAATTCACTCTGGAAGTTACACCTGGATTGACCCCTGAGCCTGTGATCGGCGGGACGACCGTGATGATAGCCGACGGCAACAACTGCGCGGCTCCCTTGCGTCCGCCGCTGCCTCTGCTGTTCCTCCTCCTTCCCCCACTGCTGGTGTGGTTGCGCTCGCTCCCCCCGCCTCCCTCAGCTACCTGCTCTCCCACTGTTTTCTCTCGCCCGCTCCCCCGCTCCACAACTGCCACGGCTGCCCTCGCTCCCCCCACTCTCAGCGGCCCATTCTCCCGCTGATTCTTCCTCGCCCGCCGCCCCGCTCCTCATCCCTCTTATGGCTCCTCGCCGCCCCCGTGCGAATGAAAATGGACAAACACACTGCACACAAGAGTACGTACAAACATCACGTAAAAACAAGAAGCTACGGCATGTGTTGCGTAGTGTTGTTTGTGCGCAGTGTGTTTACGTAGTGTCTGCTTCACCATTATTAGGAGGAAGTCTCCTCTTGTTCCGTTGATCGTTAGACCACACACGTATCTCTCGCACTAGTACTATCATCGTGTCGTGGGGAAAATTCAAGTTAAACCACTCCTAGAAATCTTGGTCCAAGGCAGGATCGAGCACGTTGCGGGCGGGTGGGATGTTTGTTCGAGCGTTGGAGTTGGCGACTCCAGGTTCTTCACGTACCCAACCGATTGGCACCAAGCGACAAGAGGAGTTGCCCACAATGTCATATGAACGATGGCAACGTCAGAACCGTCATTTGTCGCGCGATCTGTATGGGCAACGCGCACGTTGAACGACTCACGGGATAGCAACACAAGGACGAGGATTGAGGCCCCAGGCTCGACGAGGAAATTGGCGAGGGAACGGAGGGCAAGAGAAGGACCCGATAGGGGGCCGAAAAGTCAGCGCGGCAGCGGCAGGGACACGGCGAAAGGAGGAAGAGGACGACAACGAAAGAGGCGGTAGCTAAGCGACGTAGGCGCGCCGCCAGGTCTGCGGGCAGCCCGCGGGAAATGAAATCAAGGCTGGGGTCGCGCATCATCAGCAAGTTGTCCACCGTCGCCGCCTTGGACAGCATCACGTAGACATGCGGCCAGAGGTCGTTCATTGTCGTTTCGTCCGTGCACCCGTCATCGATTATGACTCCGCCGTGCATGGGCCCGGCCCCTGCAGGCCGTGGACGTTAGAACTTCGGCACTGGAGAAGTGCGCGTACCTTGCGGAAGTCGAACGGGCTCGACGTCTACGCTTCGCACGCTCTCGGGGATAGTAGCCCGCCAGGGATGATGAGATTGGGTCTGAATCTGCGTAGGACCGCACTACGCTGGACCCCTCAGCAGCCCTCGACAGTGGCGACGCTTTTGCAGTTCGCAGCCCCCTGGGGACGCGATGTCCGATCTGAATACGCGAAGGACCGCGCCACGCTGGATCCCCAACAGCATTCGAAAGTATAGTTTCGAAGCTCGCAGCCCCCCGATGGCGAGATCGAGTCTGAATGTGCGCATGACGTCACTCCGCCGGGGCCCCCAACACCCTGCGCATAATGTCACGCCGCGGGACCTGCCAACAGAAGATGACGACAGTTTAGTAGCTCGCCTCCACGGAAGGCGGGGTCTAAGCTGAATATTTCCGTGGCATCACTCCGCTCGACCCCCCCAGCAGCCCTGGGAAGTGGCCCCAATTTCGCAGTTCGCAGTCCACCATCGATGGCGGGGCCGAATCTGAATCTGCGTATGACGTCAGTCCGCTGGGCTCCCCTCCAGCACTCGAAACGGGCGACCGTTTCGCAGTTCGAACCCCCCGCGGTGGGGGATCGAATCTGAATCTGCGTATGACGTCATTCCGATGCCCCCCAGCAACAGTCCAAAGTAGCGACAGCTTCGCAGCCCGCAGCCCAGCAGCGATGGAGAGGCCGAATATTGATTTGCGTATGACGTCGCTCCGTTGGGCCTCCCAGCAGCCTCCGAAATTGGCGATTGTTTCGCATTTTGCTACCTCCCAGCCAAGGGGGGGGTCGAATCTGGATCTGTTCATGACGTCACTCCGTTGGCCCCCCAGCAGCCTTCGGAAATGGCGACAACTTCGCAGTTCGAGCCGCCGCGTGAATGGCGCCGTCGAATACGAACCTGCGTAAGGCGTCACCCCGCTGGACCCCCCAACAATCCTCGAAAGCGGCGAGATTTTCGCAATTCGCAGCCCCCCAGGGATGGCGAGGTCGAATCTAAACATACGTATGACGTCAGTCCGCGGGACCCCCTAGAAGCCCTCGAAAGCGGCGGCAATTTCGCAGCTCGCAGCCCCCAGGCACGACGAAATCGAATCCGAGTCTGCGTCTGACGCCACCCCCGTGGATACCCCAGCCGTCTTCGACAGTGGCGACGGTGTCCCAGTACACACCAGGGATGGCAAGTTCTATTCTGAATCCGCGAATGACGCCAGCGCAAGAAACCCCCCAGCAGCACTCGAAATTGGCAATTGTTTCGAAGTTCGCAGCCGCCCCAGAGTTGGCGAGACCAATTCTGAATCTGCGTGTGACGTCACCCCGCTGGACCCCCCAGCAGCCCTTGAAAGTGGCGACATCGCCACAACTCGCAGCCCCCAAGGATGGCGAGGTCGGACCTGAACATGGGTATGACCTCACCCCACTGGACCCCAAGCTGCTTTCGAAAGTGGCGGCAGACTCGCAGGTGATGGCGAGTTGGGAGGCGGACTCGCTGACAGGCAGGCGACGAGCAGGAGCAGGAGGGAAGAAAGGAGAAGGGAGAAAGAAGAAGATGGAGGTGGGAGGAATGCCAACCAGCGTGCTCTATGCCAAGCGAGAAACCAACGCAGGAAGGCTTGGAACAAATAGTTGCAACCTGCAGGTTGCACCGAGCAGGTTGCACACATGAGATGGTGGGGGACCACGCGCCAGCATTGTCGGCTATGTTGACAGCACGCGGCCATACTGTTGCCTTCCCCCTGTTCAACAGCATCACTATTTGACTGTCTACATGATTGTAGTGTGCACCCCCTCTGGCTATGGATGTGCAGCCAATCCAGGTGTTCATAGCGGCATTGCAGGACTTCGTGGAGGGCCTTCCGTTAGTCACCGTGGCCGCCATAGAGGCTTGTAGCAGCAGCAGACAAAGTGTTCTGATCTGGACGAATGACCGCGCAGGGAAAGGGGAGAAATGAAGGCACAAAGGTTACGGCGTGGGGAGATGTTGCAAACGCGCTTGCATTTGTGATCGTTGAGCAATGTTTGCAAGGCAGTCTAGTAATGCTATCAGGTTATCAAACGCAACAGCAACTCCACGAACGGTTTGCAACCAACAGTTTCACGTAATGCAACAGAACGTCCAACGTCCAGTTGTCGTAAGATGTCGGAGCGTTGTCGATTATGTCGCGCCTGTCTAGCAATCAGTACTGATAGGACGCCTGTGCCCTCTACCGAAATGCGTGGACACGCGTAGCCAGCCCTGGATTAGGCTCGGGGTTCGTAGCACTACGCTTTGCACATGGTGGGGACCAGAGCAGCTATAGTTTGTGACGGACGAAATCGCTCCACAGGCGTTCTTCTCCGTCCCCGACAGCATCAGCGACCCCATCGCTATCGCTGCAAGGCATCACCGCATTATTGCTTCAATGACGCAGGGAGGACACATGTTAAAGCTAAAGCAGGGTGAGCACGATGTTGGAGGAAGATTTGCGAATGTAGATAGAGACAGCACAGCCGCGATGCAAGGAGCCGGTTCGAATGGCTTGCCAGATTAAATGCAACAACTTAGCCACGGAGATGAAGGCTGCGAGTGTCAGGAGCAGGTCGTTGCACAGCTGGCAGGTTTCAATCAGCAAGGATACGACAAGGCTGGCGAAACCGTCAGAAGGGCAAGACGTCGAAGTTGTAGAGGAGAGGCGCAGCACCTATGAGCCAGAAATTTTCAGCTTCAAGACATGATTCCCGCGAGTTGATTGGATTCGGTTGCTGGAGTCGGTGCTCGTGTTTTTTATTTCTCAAGCACCTACAAGCGGGTTCTGTCGCGGCAAATTGTCTCTCCAGAAACAGGGTCGGTGGAATTCGGGCGCAGCTCTTCTCTCGCGGAAGTACAGCTCCCTTCCAGTCGGTTGGCGCTCACCAAAGGTTGGTGTAAATTCGCCATTGCAGTTTTGATTGAGCTCGATGGCTCGAAGCAGGAAGAAGCGAACGTTGGGTCGAGCTTCTGGGGGAAGGGCCAACGCAGGGGCCTCAGTTTGGCCAGCTTTGGTTGATCGAGTCGGCTTCATGTGTGAGTTCTGGCGGGACTGGTACCTCTGGCGCCCGGATTCACTGTTGTTGTCCAGCGAGTGACAATTCCGAGTTGTTCGAATACGTGCGGGTGATTATTTTTGCACGCTGCTTGACCACAGGCAGGCGGCGAGTTACAGTTGCGCTTCCACCGAAGAGGCGAATCGTGCGACCTTTGGGATTCGAAATACACGGAACGTGGTGATATGCACGCATACCGTTTCCATAAACATATATATATATACACGTTGTATCCAAATCTATGTTGACCACACGTGTCGTTCTACGGTATTCGGGCTCGCGGTGAGGGCTAGCGAAGACGACCGAAATTAACCCGTGTGCCGGCTGAGAAAAACCACCCAGCGTGGTCACGCGAGATTTGTCATTAAATTTTATGCAAGCCGATTGGATGTGGAAATTACACAGAGTTTGATATGGAAGCGATCGTGTTTTTCAAAAGTTGTGTTCCGCCTCACCGTTATACGCAGTCGTGCTTACTGTATGTGAACACGATGGGCTCCAGCTCACGCGACGACGCACAGGTACGATTGGCGCAAGAAGGTAGCCGTTGAAGTCTTCGTGTTGTAACGCTTGCACGGTGGTCTGCCACGCGGTGTTGAACAGCCACGTCTGGATTGAAGCAACTCCTTGGCACCCCCAAAATTGGCACGCATGCCGAGCATGCTACAAGAACAGATGATTTGTCGCCTTCGGGCGATCCAAAGAGGATTTTGCCATCGAGGAGTCGATCCGCTCACAGGTTGCCCTCGGCGGCCACTGGCAGGCGGCGGCGGACGTAATGCGAAGAGGTGCGCCGCCGCGGAACGCCAGGGGGCAGACGGCGGAAGTCAAGGATGCCCTCCCGAGGGGTGTCAATCGTCTCGGATTCTGGGCTTCCGGATCGGACCATGTTTCGCGCGCGCATGCTAAGCTTGCGGGCCAATGTCAGGAGGGAAAAAAAAAAAACACGGACACAAGTAATCGTCGATTCCCGAGAAAATATGGGAGAATATCGGAAGTGGGGGGGGTGAGACGAAAACCCGGAAAGTATGGGAAAATACAGGGATTTGTTTCATTTTGTGCGTATTGATTTGTGTGTCCTTGGGCCCCTTCACAATGGTGCGCCAAATGGTAGTAGTTCTGGGATGTCGCACGGTGTCTGCTGGCTCTTCGGAACACGTGGGTGTATCCAGACGCTGTCGTTGAACGAGTGCAAGTCGATGTGAAGTTTTGGATCTTGTCGCGATGAGCCTACGGTGGTTTGATAGACCAACGTGTTAGGCCGGCCACCATAAGAGTGCAACAGGCTTGCGGTTGGAAACCGTTGTGCCTTGAGTGCGCGACGGTGTCGTAGCGCACCCGTTCTGCAGTACAATATGCGCGTCGAGAGTGAAGGTATGACGAAGAGCCGGATAGTTATGCGCTGTCTTTCAGTGGGCAGTTGAAGGAGAATTCCGCAGGTTGGGTTCTCGTTGACACAGAAATTTCAAGGAAATGGTGTGTTCTTGGCCTGCGTTTGGTTCATGCTGTGTTGGACCGGAATTCGTATTATCCTCAGGCCATCAAATTGGTTAGATTACCATGTGAATTGGAGGAGGGTTAAAACAAAATCGTTTTTCTAGGGTTGATTCCGACGACAATGCACAAGTCTTGTGTTTCGGGACGTGAGATTGGGTGTCCGAAACTCCCACGTGGGCCTAAGCAAGACTTCTTGCCGCTTCGCGTATCAGCACCAGTTCATCCAGAATCGATGTCCAGGTGAGTTGTCGGACGAAGGGGAAAAAAACAGCACATAGTGCAACACAGAGGCTCACAATTGTGAATTTAGAGAAACTCTAAGGGGATTCTTGGAGTCATCTCGGAGTTACGTTGGGGTCCTTCGGGAAGCAGTGGACGCATTTTTCGGTCTCTCCTCAGGCCCGCTTGGGGGCCTCGGGGGCCCTCTTGAGGTTATTCTTCACGCGTCGCGTATCCCCACCAGCCCATTCAGAAGCCCTGCCAACCAGGGTGAACCGAGAGATCTCTGGGAGCAAGGGTGTGGCCTTGGAAGCCCTCTTCGGGCCATCCCTGGGTGCCGCGTGGGGGCGAGGGGAAGAGGAGGAGGAGGAGGAGGAGGACGAGGAGTACGAGGAGGACGAGGAGGACGAGGACGCGGATGAGGACGACGAGGATGAGGAGGACGAGGACTAGGATGAGGACGACGCGGACGAGGACTCATGGAACCATCTAGAGGTATTCTTGCTGCTACTACTGCTGCTGCTGCTGCCGGTGCTCTCTGGGAGTTTGGGGTAACCCTGGAAGGCTCCTTGGGATCATCTTGGAGGCCATCGATTACAGGATGGGGGGATCCCCAACTCAGCTCCCCCCTCAGGAGCCGGCAACCCGCTTTTTGGGGCTCTCTTGGAGCGCTCTTGGGCGCTCTTGGAGCGGTCTTGGGGCCGTTTGGAGCATATTGGGAGCCATCTTGAGCCAGTTTGGGCTATCTGAGCCATCTTTGAGGTCATCTTGGGCTCTCTGAGGCCGTTCGGGGGCCTCTTGGGGGCCTCTCGGGTGCCTTTTGGGGCCCTCTCGGGACCTCCTTGGAGCCCTCTTGGGGTTCTCTTGGGGTTCTCTTGGGAGCCCTGGAGCGCCTCTTGGGGCCATCTTCGAGGCTATCGATCAAAGGAGGGAGGGTCCCGATCGAGGTCCCCCCTCGGGGGCCACGATCTTCGTCAGCGGTGTCAAAAGTTGGGCCTCCAAGGGGCCGAAAAAGGGCCCTCCAACGACCCGCGAAACCCCCCAAAAAAGTACAGGGGAGGGGGTAGGGGGAGGGATCAAGAATCCCTCCCCGCCCGCAAGCCGTCTCGCTCACTCCCACCCGCCCTCCCAACACATACGTAGCACCCGAGCCTGGCCCGAGCCGCAGCATATTCAGCAGTCGTCTTTGGATGGGCAGCTACTGGGGGCCAATCCGCCGCAGCCGCCTCCGCCGCCGCCGCCGCCCGCCGCCGCCGCCGCCGCGCCGCCGCCGCCGCCGCCGCTGTCCACCGTCGCCGCCGCCGCGCCGCCCCCCGCTGCCGCCGCCGCCGCCGCGCTGCCGAATCGCCGCCGCCGCAGCCGTTGCCGCCGCAGCCGCTGCCGCCATCGCTGCCGCCGCCGCCGCCGCCACCGCCCCGCCGCCGCCGCCGCCGCCGCCGCCGCCGCCGCCGCCACCGCCGCCGCCGCCCCCGCCGCCGCCGCCGCCGCTGGCCCCGCCGCAGCCGCCGCAGCCGCCGCCGCCAAGTGTATTATGTTTTTGTTGTCAGGGATGGTGGAGGGAGGCCGCATCGGATTCGCTGCGCATGCTCCGAATTTGGAGGCAGAGTGTGTTTTGTATTGCTTTTGTACAAGGGATGGTGGGGGGGGCCGCATTGTTTCTGGTTGGCTCCCAGTCGCTTGGGGGAGGGGGTGTATATTGATAGGGAACAGTGATAAACCCCTCCCCGAAGGGGAAGAGGGGATTTTTTTGGAAGAGGAAAAAAAGACATCGTTAGACCACCTACGGCCAGAGGGCTGGTGGGATTGTGAAGGCCTTACTGCCGGTGCCGCCGACCCTGACGGGGGCTCCGACCCTGACGGGGGAGCCTGCTCCTGCTCCTCCATTTCCTTCTCCTCCTCCTCCTCCTCCTCCTCCTCCTCCTCCTCCTCCTCCTCCGTAGCCATTTTACCGTAGCCATTTTGGCTCAAGGCCATGGCGCGCGGCGGCTTCCAAATGGATACCGCTGTGCCGCGGCCAGGAGTCGAGATTCCTTTGCAGCCACCCCCAGGGCGTGCTGCCGCCAAAGACTGGTCCGCGTGGACCCACAGTTTTGTGCCCGCGAGGGCTCTCCATCGCAACTCATGGCGGCCGAGGAGGAGCGCCGCAGGGCTGGGCGCGCTGGTGGCGGCCACCGTGGTCCTGGTGCTGCTGACGGCCGCAGGCGGGCTGACAAAGGCAAGGAGCAGCCCCCTCCCGAGGACATTCGTTCCGCCTCCCGCGGCACCAACGAGCGCGCCCCGGCGCGGAGGCGCGCTCGACGGGGCCACCCTCGCTCTGACGGCGAAGCCGATGCCTCGGGATCGCCCGCCAGTGATCGTGCACGACATGGCCCCGCTGGTCTCGACCGAGCTGCTCAAGAGGAGCTCGCCGCCGCCCTCGAGGCCGCGGCCACCTTCCCCACGCAGGAGCGGATGGGCATGCAGGTGGAGCAGTCAACCACGGGCAATCCTCAAGCTGGACCTCATCATGCTCAAGCCGACCCGTGGCAACATCCTGGGGGAGATCCATGGCATGAACGCGCTGCTCCTGCCGACGGCCACGCTGCTGCCCCTGCGGCAGGC